TCTCTCTCTCTCTCTCTCTCTCTCTCTCTCTCTCTCTCTCTCTCTCTCTCTCTCTCTCTCTCTCTCTCTCTCTCTCTCTCTCTCTCTCGGGGTTGCTACCTCCCCTTGGCTGGCTTGCTTGTCTTGTAAGTCACCACACGAGCCCGCCTCTGTACTACAGATGACCTCCCGCCTCTCTACTACAGATGACCTCAATGGCCAAAGCCAACAAAAGTCGTCTCAATGGAGGTGCAATCACACCCCTCAAATCAGAAGAAACAAAGTAAACCAAAAATATGTCCAAGTATCAAACAAGTAAAACGAAGTAGAACAGACCTTAATCAATCGAATGATTAAGCGACCTCAAGTCAAAACGTTATGCGTATTTCCTCTCTCATATCACAACATGACCCAAAAAGAAAATTCTCACACTGACTCACGAGGTCATAGTATCATCAAAACGTGAAGTTAAAACCCACCAATTCTAATGTATTTTACATATACAGACGTGTGGGTGGCACACCCCATATCTCGAGGTGGTATGGCAAAAACAAAATCTCAAATCTCAAAATATAATCACCTTGCCTCAAATCTCAGGGCGATATTGCCAAAGGAATGTCAATATCTGAAAGAAAAACAAGACAAATATCTAAAAGAAAAACAAGGGACCATCATCAAAAAGTCAGAATGGCGCTCTTGACGTGGTCAAATTTCCAAACGTGATCGCTCGTCACACTTAAGCCTACATTCTAAGCCACACCCACAGCAGACTCCTACCCTCGCGACCCACATTCGTGCAAAGCTCACGCTTATACCATAAACACGCTCAAGCCACTCTACCCTGTAACCTAGGGTAGACACCGGAATCTGAAAAGAAAAATTCCAAGTGAACTTGTAAATTCTCATAATCCAACATATGCACACAACACACTAAAATATACATTTATTTCAACGCACACAATATACAACTAAAATCCTACTAACTAACATGGAGTTCGGACCACATAAACGGTCAGCCCGCTATCTTAGTCTCTATGTCAGTGTATGTACAAACTAAACTCACTAAAAACATGCCCAAATAGCCTAAAATACAACCCCAGGGTTGAAACTTCCTAAACATAAAGGTCAAGGTCAATCGCCTTCATGTCGCTGTACTCTCTCTAACCCTGTCCTTTTACCACTCTTCACAAATCTTTGGTCATCTCGTCCACCCTTCTCGTAGCCTTGGTCACCCTGCTTATCCCGATTGCCACCACGGCTGCCGCCATTATATCCCTCTTCACCTCCGCCTCCGCCTATGGTTTCGTCGGTCGCCATTGTGATCTCTAGTGCCTTGTCTGCCATCACCACGGACTTCAGTGCCATGACCACCATTCCCACGGCCTCTTCTAATATTTTGCTATCAGTCTCCCTCACCA